CAAGTCTAATTTTGTGCAGCTTGATTATAATACACGTTGTCCCCTTTCAGATAAATGTATTAGGTTACGTTTTAATCAATGGCCTATATCACCTTTAGTTCACCAAGAATAATGGATAATCATAATATTCATTAACAAACACAACCATGGCAATTTTTTCTATATTCATTTTGCTAAAAGATTTGCCTTTGTATAAAAAACAGATCTGTTACTGTGGCATCTAGTGTGTTGGTCACACATTAGAAACTGACAATGAATAATCTCTGTAAAGGAATACATATGCTACCTCATCATATTTCAGTTCTCATCGACTTCAATATAATACTGCTGGAAATAAATGAATATGTCGATACCCAGTTCACTTAAAGAGTCGATACCCCAATATCCTCTCTCATTTGAGTCATGGCATGTTCTGCTGCCAGTGTACCTTCAAGACAAACAATATATCTGCCATGAGCCACCCTCTCATACACTTTGGTTAAGCAACAATCTGAGGAAAACGATTTTTGTAACTGGATTCTGCATGTTCCACTGCTTAATATGTTACTCATTGAGCATTAAAACCTCAAGCTTCATTCCTGCTTATAACACCCCTGTTGAAAAAAACAGCATATGCTGGTTAGGTATATTTTGAAGCATGGCAGCTGTTTAAGCTGGTCCTTAGTTGGTCACGAGCTGGTTTAAGCTGGTTATGAGCTGGTCCTGAGCAGGAGCTGTTGCTTAGGCCCAGCACATGACCAGCTTAAACCAGCTCATGACCAGCTAAGGACCAACTAAGGGCCAGCTTAAACCAGCTTAAACCAGCTCAAACCAGCTACCATGCTTCAAAACATACATATGCTGTTTTTTTCAACAGGGATGGATAACTGTACCTTAAAATAGATTTAAGAATAAGAAAGAAAAAACAGCTCTATAACAATGTTATTTTATGTCATCATGCATGTTTCTTGTTTGGAAAGGTCTAAACAAGGTCATATTGTTTATTGTTTTGATATTGTTTACCCCATTGATTAGTTCATAGTCTGCTCTGTGTTTCTGCTCTTTCTTATATATATATATATATATATATATATATATATTCAGAAGAAGTGTTGTGGTAGTTGCTAAGGTGTTATGAGTGGTTGCTATGGTCAGAAAGTCTTCGTTATTCTAATCCTTAGATATAGTTTGCGTCCCTCCTCCACTGCAAGTTGTTGTCATTTTAGCATGTTCGGGGATAAAATCTGCTTAGAAAACTAATAGCATACCTCTTCTCAACAAAGCGCATTATTTGAGGTGTCATTCATGTCCGTGGCACAAACTTTGTGTGATTTGAAGTTTAATACTTAGGTTTAGGGGGCTTCTTCAGATGTCTAACTTTAAGTATGAGTAATAGTTAATGCAGAAATTGTCATAGTAAGCGAAATTAATTCATGG